TTTAAAAAGCCAAGGAAGTGTTTGCTTTGGAATAAAGCAGGGGCAGAGATGGATTTCTGGAGGTGCTTGCTATCTCAGAGTAAGGAGTCATGTGTTTCTCATAAAATGAAGTGTAGAATGGAACCCATTTTCTGGAACTGTCTGGGATAGCTCATTAATTGTTAGTGGAAGATGCTGTGGGTAAGGACCAAGCCCTGCCACAGTTGGACTACATTTTGATAATGAATTTGAATGCATTTAAGTCTTTAAGGATAAGACCTCTCCAGATGCTCTCACCCTCTCCATAACTCTGTGTGTGTGTGTGTGTGTGTGTGTGTGTGTGTGTACATGTTGGTGGGGCAGGTGTCCAGGTGAACAGTCATCACTGGCTCTGGAAAGACTGCAATGACCCTGTAACTACCAAGGGGTCTTTTTTGTATTTTGTCTTATGTTGAGACAGGGTCTCTCTGTGTTGCTGAGCATGGTCTCAAACTGCCGGACTCCTATGTGCCATCATGCAGTGCCTCTAAAGCTGCTTCACCGCTCTAGTTCCTCCTTGAGACTCAAGAAGTTGCTTTCCTCAGTCAGCTAAGAGGATAAGCCCATTGCAGGAAATCCCAAGCAGAGCCACATCTCAGACAAACCAGACCACTAGGAACCAGAAAAAGGTGTTTTTCTATAAGCTGACTGGCTGGCTGCCTGGCTTCCCTCCTTCCCATCCCTTCCCTCTTTCCCTCCTTCCCTTCTCTTCCCTCCCCTCCCCTATTCCCTTCCCTCCTCTCCCTCCCCTTCCCCTTCCTTCCTTCTTTCCTGTCTTTCCTTCCCTTCTCCCCTCCCCCTCCCTCCCCCCTTTCTCCTTCCTTCCTTCCTTCCTTCCTCCCTTCCTCCCTCCCCACTCTGCTCCCTTCTCCTCCCCTCCCCTACCATCCCCTCCCCTGGATTCATGGGGTTCTTCCAGCATCATCACTGTGTCATTCAACTTTACTTACAAAACACAAACAAAGGCACTCACAGCTCAGAGTTTTATTTTGATTTATTTCTGCTGGTGTCAAGGCAGGTGCTAGGTGAGGTTCTACAGCCTGGAATGCTGACATTCCCAGATGGTTCTTTTATGCTCTTGGCACTAAGGGGTCAGTTCATGATGAACAGGGTGGGAAGGCTCTCGCCCCCACCCAGGCCACCCCCAGCAGGCCAGTTGATGGGGGTAGAGGGGGGTGAGTGGGGAAGGTGGAGTTGCCACACTTACTGCAAATGGAAAATGGATGTCAGTGGCTATCAGAGCACATCTCTCAACAGTCCCAAATTACTGCCCCAGGAGTTACAATGAAACAAAATGGGAAGTCTGGAGAGAGACGGAACTCTAATCCCTGCAGAATAATAGAGATTGCGTGTCTGCTTTGGTGAGGAACTGTTGACCTCCTGCTGTGTTCCAGAGGCCTATGCGAGGTCTGGTCAGGTGGGCTTATCTGCCTTTACCAGGCAAGGCAAGATTAAGAATCTGACAATTGGTGAGTTTGGCTCCATTGAACTTGGTATACATTATCTCATTAAATCTTCACTACAAACCATGTGAATAGGTGTTATTATTTAAGAGAGGAGCAAACTAAGACTCAGGTTGTATTAGGCAATATAGGCTAAACTGTGCTGTATAGTAACAAAGAGTCCCACACTAGTGTGTTTTTCCCTTTCACACAGTTGCTGAGACAGCAATCCAGGCTACTTTGTCTAACATTTGGCACCCCTGTCCACCAAGAGCCTCTAAATTGCTGTAATGGGAAGAAAGAGGCTAGATAGTCATATACGGACATTTCACTCCACTTGGAGGTGAAATTCCTATCATTTCATTTCTTTTTTTAATGTTTTATTATTGTGGAGGGGTACATAACCATGGCACCTATGTGGAGGTCAGAGGACAACTTCTGGTATTCTCTCCTTCCACCATGTTAGTCCTGGGAATTGAACTCTAGTTTTCAGGCT